CCGCATTTAGAGAGCTGACAGTTTCCAACAGACATTTAAAGTCTTCTTTCAGCGCTTCTGACTGTTGTTTCACAACATCATTTGTTCCAATATGTAGTACCACATTCTTCACAGTCGGATGTTCAGCCCCAATATGCAGGATCTTCTCAGCCAAGTCGGAGACCATATCCTTGGGAAAACAGAGTACTTTGGTGTTGTTCTTACTACACAGACCTTTTACATCTCTTACAGCAGAATCACCCACAATCAGAGTTTCAGGCCCAGCCGTTAGCTTTCCCTCTAGCCTTTTACTTTTGGAGTAGCTATTGGTCCTTACCCTGCTGTGTGAAGAGGACGGGTTATCCAGGTCATCAGAAAGAGATCTCCGGTTCTCGGTCAGCGGAGCATATCTGTTCTGGATTGGCACACTTGGTGGTTTAGGAGGATTGTTTGTAGTTCTCCCTTTAGCAGCTGTCCACGGCTGTTTCCTAGTATGAATAGGGGTTGAAGAGGCACTCTTCCTGGGTGATAACAATGCAGGCCAGCCGGTCGCATCACAGATTTCAGAGCGCTGGGCTCTGCCTGTTATTCGTCCTCCCAAATCCCATGGAAATGATTTACTCTTAGGCTTTGCACCCAGAGAGTTCCAGGGAGGACTACCACTTGTAGATTTATTACCCAGTACACAGCCCTCCTGTTCCTTGGAAACCTTGTAGCTGCTAACTAGCTGTGAGTTAGCATACCCTTTTCCATTATCTTGCAACACTGGTAAAGTGGTGTTATTCCCACAACATAGTCCATTCACTTCCACGTTAACTTCCAACCGTTGCATTTTCATTTCCAACACAGCCATCTTCTGTTGAAGTTTGTGGAAGTCATCTGTAGAGAACGGAGGCATTTTGCTACCAACTAGCTTAAGCTAAATAGCATGCAGTAGCCTACCAGGCTTTAGCTGTTGCTAGGCCACGCTACTGTAAGACTGAGGTCATCGTAAAAATGTTGAAATATGGCTGAAACCCTCCGTCTATTTACGATGAATAACTGTCCCAGTGATAAGTTAATGTCCAGGAGCCGCTGCAAGTAAGGGGAATACTTACTATACTTACTTCCGGGTGTACAATTCTCCGTTATCCAATGGGAATGGACGCTCACATTGCCTTTAACAGCCTCCGACACAAACGAATGCCGTGCTTCCCTAAGCGCCAAATACCGCCGCCGATGGGAATACATTGCAATCAGTTGAAAGCTCTTTGCGTCCGTTTATGAAGCTGAAGGAGCCTTGGCGCGTCACAACTGGACGCCACGGGACCCTGACCAAGCGTCGCTCCTGGACGCTTAGGGAGTGAGAGTGTGTTGATCCGGGAGGTTCTGCTGGAGATGAGGCGGTACCGGATGGGTTTGATCCAGACGGCCGATCAGCTCCGGTTCTCCTACCTCGCCGTCATCGAGGGCGCCAAATACATCGGGGGGGAAACCAGTCTGCAGGTAAACAACCCCCCCCTCCATTACAGAGGTTACAGATTGAGTCACTACGAGGTTTAGTATATTCAGTTTGGATAACGAGTCGTTTTAATTTGATGCTGAAACGTTTGAGCTTTTAACTTTAGTACGGTTTGAATGCAGGGCTTGTGCTTTAACAGAGGATGGGAATTGTAGTTTTTTGTATATCCTATGGACTACAGAGGTTAACGTATTATTTGACCTTTTCCCAAAACAAAAACTGGCTTTAACGGGGAGTTTTCAAACTGATTTTTAACCTCTAGTACGACTTGACTTCATCCACGTCTGAAGTCTCTCTGGTTTCCCATAAAAGGAACAAATGGAGCAGCACGTGTGTTGAGTGGAGAGAGAAGTCATAAATACATGTTATTTGTGTCATCATTTAGTTTAGTGCACTAAATCTTAGTCACATTTCACTCTCTTCAATTCAGGTTTAAGCACATTTAGCCCCATAACGGCCCGTCCACACGGCAGCGTCGCGTGCTTCAACGGAGACGCTTCCCATTCACTTTGGGGTGACGTCACGCTTTGCCGAACTGCATTGTGGTTCCGTTGCTTGCTTCGAAAGTTGAGCAAAGTTCAACTTTTCAAGCTTCGACGGAAGCGTCAGCCAATCAAATCATATGCCAGAACAAGCTCTAGCCAATCAAACAACGTGCTTGTGTGTCCGGGGCGGGAGATTAATGTGATTTTGTTCGCACGCCAGACACGCCCACCGGCAAGCTTCAACGCTATAGAGAGAGAGAGAGAGAGAGAGAGAGAGAGAGAGAGAGAGAGAGAGAGAGAGAGAGAGAGAGAGAGAGAGAGAGAGAGAGAGAGAGAGAGAGCTCTGATTACTCCTCTACTTCATGGGTCTCTTTCTTTCTTTCTTTTTACATTTGATACTTGCGCTTTTGTAATAATATATTGTTGTAAATTGTTTAATGAATTAATTGTATTTGTTTTTTTATCAATTTTATTGAATTGTATTATCCTTGACGCTTTGGCAATATTGTTCACCTGACATTCATGCCAATAAAGCTTATTGAATTGAATTGAATTGAGAAAGAGAGAGACAGAGAGAGAGAGAGAGAGAGAGAGAGAGAGAGAGAGAGAGAGAGAGAGAGAGAGAGAGAGAGAGAGAGAGAGAGAGAGAGAGAATGAATGTTTGTGTTGTTGTTTCCATCTGCAGTGTGTTACCTTGATGAAATGAATCATATGTCATACTGGTTTAAATGTTAAATATTAATATACTACATTAACAATTGTAATGAATGAATTAGAGAGCTGACATGTATTTAATGTGATGACAGAATTACGGACTTTAAAAACACATTTCTTAAAAACACATTCTGACATCAAACCCTCCATTTGACCCTAATCCTCTTCCGTAGTTTAGTTAGTCTTTGACTGCGTCATAATTATAAACTAGAGATACCCGGCAGTCCTGTGTCTCGTGGCGCTCAATGTTTCTGTTTTTGAGACATTTTTAAATCAGAGACAGTCTGATACCGATATATTCAGTCTTGTTTACTATTAAAAAAAAACAATGAGATGCAAAAAAAGTTCCATATTTTTTTTAATAAATTATTTTGTGTGTAACCAGTATACATCACTTTCACTGTACAGTACCTCGAAATCTCCTCTCAAAAAGACATTTATCCTTTAAAAATATGAATTGAAATACTACAGAGGGATGTGAATGATGACGGAGAAACCAAACTTAATGACACGCATGGTGCATTGACTGATGTACACATATATATCAAAATATACTCCTCTTACACTAAGTTGTACAGCATTAACCTGTTAAACGCCATGCCCCCGCCCCCGGGGGCAAAACACAACAATATTCACAAAACTGTGTCTCAGCGCTTCTTAACATTTAACAACCTATGAATGTGTCATACCCACTTAACGGGAAGAAACTCAGACAATATTAACAATTTTTACCGAAACAAAACACAACTCTAACGCCGAGCGTCTGAATTAGCACTAAGCGAAAGAGTGCTAACGCACTTAGCACTTATACTTCATCGGATCTGCACAAACTAGATATCATATGAAGGCTGAGATTCCACAGATTCCAATGGTATAAGTATCATCACTGTGCGACCAAAACTCGCGGCGGCGAAGGCAAGCAAAGACAACACACAACTTCACTTTGCGGGGCCAAAACAGCAAATACGTCTTTTTGCTGTTTTCTGATCAAAAGTTGTGTTCAATGGTATTAAAACACATATAAACGCTGCTGAAGGTTAATCCAATGTGTCTCTGTCACTTTTAAATGATTACTGATAATCCATCATAACATTTTGTCAATAAGAGTAGTTTTCATATAGAGTGTAACGAAGCTTCCGGTTTGGGGCATTCTGGCTACGCATCACTCTCACTCCTCAATGGTAATGTTTAGATGGATTTAGGAACACCCCCTCGATTCTATTGGCTCTAACGGTTCAAAAGTGGTGTCAATCACCAAAATCGACCGATGGGTTCCAGAGATATGGAAAATCCACCCAAATGACCCCAGAAGTGGGTTTTTTCCCCCTAAATCTCTCTAAAAAGGTCAAATGTCACTTGTTTTGCATCAATCTTGAAACAGGGTACTTATTATATGTTATAGTTTGGATTCCTAAAGCTTTTAGTCTACTATCCCACCCAGGGGCGGACTGGGACTACAAATCAGCCCGGGACTCTCGACCGGCCCACTTCGGTACCGCCGGCCCACCTCGGTACCCCAAGTAATTACCACTAGTAAATGATCAACGGTGTGACTTATCCGACCGGCCCACATCGTCTGACCGGCCCACTTCAGTACCGGCCCATTGGGATTCGTCCCGATGGCCAGTCCGCCCCTGATCCCACCTTTCAAGGGCGGTTTTCACTATAAGTAATGTTTTTTTTTGGACGGACACTAGAATTAAAATGTTTTACTATGTTCAATCTGAATTTACTTTAAAGTGGACCTATCATGCTATATTTGAATAATATAGTGTAGGACCATACCTATATAAGGCATATTTATACCAAACAGATCATGCATTTTAGCCATGCCTCATTTTGCTCAATTTGACAATTTATAGCTCTGTTTGTGCAGGGGCTGATTCAGTGAGAACAGCACCACCTACAGGCCTGGCATATGCACTCCAGCGCTTTTGAACGGCAATGGCCGTGGCTGTCTCCTCCTGATTGGTGGAGTTGGCCCAATAGCCGTAGCGCCACCGTCCTGACGTCAGGACAGTGTTCAAATCTGGATCAGTTTTTATCAGATCCGTTGCAGCCCCTTTTTTAGAGATTTGGGTATGGAGGAAAATAGAGAGGGTTGTGTTTTCTGACACTTGGTGAGTTCCCTGGAACACCGGGGACACATATTCATGTAGAAAAGACGTACACAAGTGCATTTTGCATGATAGGTCCCCTTTAAAGAAATCAACAATAATGTTCCTCACTCTGCCACCAGAGGGCGACTCATCCCCAAAATACAAAAAAACAAACATTAATTATTGTCTTGTTCACTATAAAAAACAACAACGAGATGCAAAGAAGTTCTATCTTTTTTTAATAAATTATTTTGTGTGTAACCAGTATACATCACATTCACTGTACCTCGAAATCACCTCTCAAAAATAAATGTATCCTTTAAAAATATTAATTTAAATACTACAGAGGGATGTGAATGATGGCGGAGAAACCAAACTTAATGACACGCATGGTGCATTGACTGATGTACACATATATATCAAAATATACTCCTCTTACACTAAGTATTACAGCATTAAAACCTCTCTCTACCCGCCTCTTGAAGCTAATTATCCTGCAGGTGAGCTAGATTTATTAAACATTCAAGTCTTTGGTGCAGGAGTTATTAAAGCCTCCTCTCTGCAGGACAAAGTGCATCAGCGCTGGAAAAGGCACTTCCTGTTAACAGAGGAAAAGGGAAGCAGCTTCAGCTTCTTTTCTGTGTTTAAGGAACTCTTCGCTGTCCGTTAGCGACGTGCTCAATCATCATCATCATCATCATCATCATCAGCTTCAATATTTTCACACCCAGGTCTCCGGATGACTGCGGGGACCTTTAGGTTTCCCAAAGCGGTATCCAAACCCTGAGGAGAGACATTTAAAAGTTAAAAATCATATACATGTGTGAGTATGTAGTGTCTCTACTTTAAAGAGTTCTCTCCTGCTGATGTTCAGGTGTATATCAGTATGTAGTGTCTCTACTTTAAAGAGTCCTCTCCTGCTGATGTTCAGGTGTATATCAGTATGTAGTGTCTCTACTTTAAAGAGTCCTCTCCTGATGATGTTCAGGTGTATATCAGTATGTAGTGTCTCTACTTTAAAGAGTCCTCTCCTGTTGATGTTCAGGTGTATATCAGTATGTAGTGTCTCTACTTTAAAGAGTCCTCTCCTGCTGATGTTCAGGTGTATATCAGTATGTAGTGTCTCTACTTTAAAGAGTCCTCTCCTGTTGATGTTCAGGTGTATATCAGTATGTAGTGTCTCTACTTTAAAGAGTCCTCTCCTGCTGATGTTCAGGTGTATATCAGTATGTAGTGTCTCTACTTTAAAGAGTCCTCTCCTGCTGATGTTCAGGTGTATATCAGTATGTAGTGTCTCTACTTTAAAGAGTCCTCTCCTGCTGATGTTCAGGTGTATATCAGTATGTAGTGTCTCTACTTTAAAGAGTCCTCTCCTGCTGATGTTCAGGTGTATATCAGTATTTAGTGTCTCTACTTTAAAGAGTCCTCTCCTGCTGATGTTCAGGTGTATATCAGTATGTAGTGTCTCCACTTTAAAGAGTCCTCTCCTGCTGATGTTCAGGTGTATATCAGTATGTAGTGTCTCTACTTTAAAGAGTCCTCTCCTGCTGATGTTCAGGTGTATATCAGTATGTAGTGTCTCTACTTTAAAGAGTGTTACGTAGTGATGTCACGTACCGAGTTTGAATCCTAAAGTTGACGCTCCGTTAGCTGCAGGAGTTTCAGTTTGAGATGGAGGAGGGGGAGGAGCAGTTTTAGCTGAAAGTATAAAATATGAAACTAACTTTTCTTATAACATCAGAGCATTTATTGTTTGAATCAAAATCATCTTCACTCACGTTTCTGTTTGTGTCTGAAGAACTTGAGACTCTGGAGAAAAGGAAACAGGAAGTTAGTTCAGCTTGCTCTCAGACATATCCAGAGCCGGTCTCTTGTTGAGATTTCATAGCCGAGAATAATATTCTCCAGTCCTACACACTAGAGGTCATGACCTTTTTATACAAACATGGGAAGGTGTGTCTTATGCCATAGCCATAGAATATGTCTGGTCATGTCCAGTTCTGTACATCAGAGGCCCAGTTTCCACAAATATGGGTATGGAGGAGGGGTCTTTAGGTTTTTCTGTCTTGTTTGAGAGCATAAAGAGAGCTCCCTGGAGAGCTGGGTTTTTGCCTCGGTAAAGTTCTCTCAAACTAAATATTGCTTAAATCTCTGTGTATTGAATGCTGAGTGAATGGTTGGATGAAAGTTTAAAACTGTTCATTCTTACTGATCATTTTTGAGGATCTGCCTCTGAGTGTTGTCAGACTATAGGGGTGAATGTTAGCACCTTCGATCCGTGAGGAGATTCCTTTGGATTCTGTCGGAAGACTTTAATGTCTAAACTATGAATTGAGGTTTCAGATTAGAAAATGATCATAGTATCGTATCCAAATAACATTATTTCATAACATATCACATGACCAGATAAACCATCAGAACACCTAACAGCATATTGACGTCCATCATGTCGACTCGACGTCCAGCATATTGACGTCCATCATGTCGACTCGACGTCCAGCATGTCGACGTCCATCATGTCAACGGCCATCATGTCGACGGCCATCAAGTCGACGTCCATCATGTCGACGTCCATCATGTCAACGGCCATCATGTCGACAGCCATCATGTCGACAGCCATCATGTCAACGTCCATCATGTCGACGTCCATCATGTCGACGTCCATCATGTCGACGTCCATCATGTCGACGTCGGAAAAAAGTTTGAATTTTCTGATTTTCAGAGACAAATCCGAATTTTCAAATTGACATCCAGTATATTCACATCAACTATATTCACATCCAGCATGTTAATATACTGGATTATCAGACTTTCGAAAAAAAGTCAGGATTTTTGAAAAAAAGTCAGGATTTTCGAAAAAGTCAGAATTTTCAGATTTTCGAAAAAGTCAGAATTTTTAGATTTTCAAAAAAAAGTCAGAATTTTTAGATGTTCGAAAAAAAAGTCAGAATTTTCAGATTTTCCAAGTCAGAATTTTTTGATTTTTGAAAAAGTCAGAATTTTTTTATTTTAGAAAAAAGTCTGAAGATTTTCAGAAAAAAATCAGAACTTTCAGATTGACGTCCAGCATATTCACATCAAGTATATTCACATCCAGCAAAGAGTAACTGACCTCCCTTTATATTAATAGAACAATAATGTCATTGTTAGCTAATGAATGTTTCCATGCTGAACAACGGCAACATGACAACGTTTTCATTGGTCCCTCTTCTTTAGAGAAGACCAGGAAATGATGGATACACGGATCGTGTTCAAATCAATAGGCACGCAATGACTCTAAATAATAATGATCACGCCACCAGACACACATTCAAACTAAAGGAACCAGCCTGTTTGGGAAATGTAAGAAGTAGAAAGTACAGGTATTTGTGTTCAACATGTAAGAAGTAGAAAGTACAGGTATTTGTGTTCAAAATGTAAGAAGTAGAAAGTACAGGTATTTGTGTTCAACATGTAAGAAGTAGAAAGTACAGGTATTTGTGTTCAACATGTAAGAAGTAGAAAGTACAGGTATTAGTGTTCAACATGTGAGAAGTAGAAAGTACAGGTATTTGTGTTCAACATGTGAGAAGTAGAAAGTACAGGTATTTGGGTTCAACATGTAAGAAGTAGAAAGTACAGGTATTTGTGTTCAACATGTAAGAAGTAAAAAGTACAGGTATTTGTGTTCAACATGTAAGAAGTAGAAAGTACAGGTATTTGTGTTCAACATGTAAGAAGTAGAAAGTACAGGTATTTGTGTTCAAAATGTAAGAAGTAGAAAGTACAGGTATTTGGGTTCAAAATGTATGAAGTAGAAAGAACAGGTATTTGTGTTCAACATGTAAGAAGTAGAAAGTACAGGTATTTGTGTTCAACATGTAAGAAGTACAAAGTACAGGTATTTGTGTTCAACATGTAAGAAGTAGAAAGTACAGGTATTAATGTTCAACATGTAAGAAGTAGAAAGTACAGGTATTTGGGTTTAAAATGTAAGAAGTAGAAAGTACAGGTATTTGTGTTCAACATGTAAGAAGTAGAAAGTACAGGTATTTGTGTTCAACATGTAAGAAGTAGAAAGTACAGGTATTTGGGTTCAACATGTAAGAAGTAGAAAGTACAGGTATTTGTGTTCAAAATGTAAGAACGAGAAAGTACAGGTATTTGTGTTCAACATGTAAGAAGTAGAAAGTACAGGTATTTGTGTTCAACATGTAAGAAGTAGAAAGTACGGGGTTGCGTTCGAATACTCCAAAAAAACAGCTCCTAAGTTCTAACCCTATCGTCTATTCCTTGACCTCGGAGTGAAACGTCATGGGGTTAAGGGATAGTGGATAGGAGAATTCAAAAGGACTTAGGAGAAGAGACTGCGGCACTTTAGAGAATCCGACTGCACTTTCACTATCCGACGTGTTTATGATGCGCCAGCAGAGGTCATAAATGTGCGCCTGCTGCTGTGGGGAAACTATGGAAACTACAGTTTTCTATACAGCGGACTACAACATGGATGTTTAATAAGAACGAGGGACTACTGTAAACTCATCTAGAGACTCTGCACCATGCTCTGATGCTGTTGTTTTATGCTTTATGAACGGGGACAACAGAGAAACATATTCTTCATGACCAAAGTTGGAATTGAAATAAAAAAGGAAAGTGAAACTTATGCTCGTCACCCTCTCCCTCCGGTCCACATTAATACAAATGATCCCAATACGTATGATTGTATGAAAAGATCTTAAAATCAATACAAATGTATTTATTATAACGGTTAGTCCTTAACATCTATCACTGTGTATATCACCATTCAAACATCTTTTAAAAGTTGAACAAACCCCACACAGCTCAGTAAAGACTGTGAAATGTTGACTTTATTTGATCATTTCAGTAAAAACTAACGTTCATATTTCTCTTTTTGATTATAATACTGATGAACGTTCAAAACAAAGCACTTTGGCAACTTACCACATACGTTTTTAAAATGCTTAATAAGCACCGTAACTTTCATGATATCATTTCTCGTTCATAATCGGTTGTTTCCGTGAACGGCCGACTGTTGTGTGACGGCAAATGCTGCGGCCGCAAGGCATTGTGGGGCAGCATTTTCTCCTCTCCTTTCGGTTAGGGAGGTCCAGTGGTTCCTAAGCTAAAGGAGGTTATAAAGGAAGTTTGAAACCTCCTTTCCTTTTAATTTAGAGAATTCGAACGGCACTTATCATGGCTGCCACTGAGGGACTTCCGGGTCATTTCACTCCGTTAGGAAGGTTCCTAAGCTAAATGGACTATTCGAATGCAACCCGGGTATTTGGGTTCAACATGTAAGAAGTAGAAAGTACAGGTATTTGTGTTCAAAATGTAAGAAGTAGAAAGTACAGGTATTTGTGTTCAACATGTAAGAAGTAGAAAGAACAGGTATTTGTGTTCAACATGTAAGAAGTAGAAAGTACAGGTATTTGGGTTCAAAATGTAAGAAGTAGAAAGAACAGGTATTTGTGTTCAACATGTAAGAAGTAGAAAGTACAGGTATTTGTGTTCAACATGTAAGAAGTAGAAAGTACAGGTATTTGTGTTCAACATGTAAGAAGTAGAAAGTACAGGTATTAGTGTTCAACATGTAAGAAGTAGAAAGTACAGGTATTTGGGTTTAAAATGTAAGAAGTAGAAAGTACAGGTATTTGTGTTCAACATGTAAGAAGTAGAAAGTACAGGTATTTGGGTTCAAAATGTAAGAAGTAGAAAGTACAGGTATTTGTGTTCAACATGTAAGAAGTAGAAAGTACAGGTATTTGGGTTCAACATGTAAGAAGTAGAAAGTACAGGTATTAGTGTATTTGTGTTCAACATGTAAGAAGTAGAAAGTACAGGTATTTGGGTTCAAAATGTAAGAAGTAGAAAGTACAGGTATTTGTGTTCAACATGTAAGAAGTAGAAAGTTCAGGTATTTGTGTTCAACATGTAAGATGTAGAAAGTACAGGTATTTGGGTTCAAAATGTAAGAAGTAGAAAGTACAGGTATTTGGGTTCAACATGTAAGAAGTAGAAAGTACAGGTATTTGTGTTCAACATGTAAGAAGTAGAAAGTACAGGTATTTGAGTTCAACATGTAAAAAGTAGAAAGTACAGGTATTTGGGTTCAACATGTAAGAAGTAGAAAGTACAGGTATTTGTGTTCAACATGTAAGAAGTAGAAAGTACAGGTATTTGGGTTCAACATGTAAGAAGTAGAAAGTACAGGTATTAGTGTTCAACATGTAAGAAGTAGAAAGTACAGGTATTTGTGTTCAACATGTAAGAAGTAGAAAGTACAGGTATTTGGGTTCAACATGTAAGAAGTAGAAAGTACAGGTATTTGGGTTCAAAGTGTAAGAAGTAGAAAGTACAGGTATTAGTGTTCAAAATGTAAGAAGTAGAAAGTACAGGTATTTGGGTTCAACATGTAAGAAGTAGAAAGTACAGGTATTTGTGTTCAAAGTGTAAGAAGTAGAAAGTACAGGATGCAGGACTTGCACACGCCTGTTATCTAACCCAGTGGTTCCCAAACGGTGTGCCGCGGCACACTGGTGTGCCGTGAGGCAAGTCCGGGTGTGCCGTGGGATTTTGTGACAACCATACGTTATTATTGCAATATACAACTACACAAAAATTATTATTTTTTAATTTACTATATCAGTACTTTGTATGCACTCATTTCATAATACAGAGGCAAACTCTATACCTAAAAACAATTATTTAAAAAAAAATCCTCACAGAACCCCATATTTCGCTGTTAACGCAGTTGCAGGCGGGAATTATAAGACCGTGACACATCGAAGGCTGAAGGACAACATTAAAACAGAGAAACACGCAAGAGGGAAAATAGAGCGCTTTCTTGTGCGGAGCAAACCACCAACCACCAGTGC